TCTAAAAAACGTTTTTCTTCATAACCAATTTTAACATGGTCACATCTAATAAGATCATTTTATCTAATAACAAATCCATATTCCTATTTCCCCAGTTATTTCCTAACCTTAACATTTAGTCTGTCCAAATCAAGATCCAGTCTAGGGCTACACATTTTATGTAGTTGTTAAATTTCTTAAATCACTTTAAATGGAGGAAAGTCTTCCCCCCGTTTTTATGACCCTATCTAAGTACTGAGAGTGACACATTTAGAGTATCTGCCCTCTAGATTTTTGTGATTGTTTTGTTAAAATAGGTGTCACTAAGCTTGTTTCTTTGCCCTCAGTGTTCCCTGTTAAGTGGTAGTTACAACTAACAATTTGATTGATTCAAGTTGAAACAGTTTGGCCGGATTACATTTTAGGTGTCGTATAGTGGGTGGCACTGGGAGGTATTAACATCCAGCAGTTCACGGTGGATTCCTCTCTTTTGAGTTACGTTTTACCTCTTTCGATCAAGCAGCATGTGCGTAATTACTTTGATTCTAGAAGTATATTCTGTACCCAGTCAGCCATTTCCCTGATGCTTTGAAAAATAGCAATTGAAGATTCTTGTCTGTATCAGTAATTTCATTCAGGGTTACAAAATGAAGTCTTTCAGATTTTATTATTTCTTCTACTTCTCATTTTATTGTCCTGAAGTACATGAAAGGCGGAATAGGAGTTTATTTCTTTCTCATTAATTTACCAACTTAACATTAGGAGCTTTATTATTAGCTGCTTTTGTTGATGACATGTTATGGAATCTTTTTTTTTTTATGATTATCACTATAGCTTTAATGAATTTTTATAGCTGCTTTTATGTCTGGTTTATAGCAGTTAGCATAATGTCTTCAAGTTTCATCCATTTGTAGAATGTCAGAATTTCGTTCCTTTTCAAGTGCTTTGTTGTTTTTGACGCTCAAATTACACCAACTTTGGCCCATGGATTCTACTTTTATTTTTTGCTCTTAGGTAAGTTCC